GGAGGGGGGGGGGGGGGGGGGGTAATAGGACCCCTGAAAAGAAAAGGTGTGTAGTTTGGAAATATGTTCATAGTCATGCAGATACTATATACATTTAAGTTGTGCAGAAATTTATTATTGGAGTACTTCTGTTAGTCAATCTTTAGAGAATTCACTATTCCTGAGTCTATTAAATCTATTTATCTTCGTCTTATTCCTAAATGTGTAGGGGCCTCTATGATTACTCAATCTCGCCGTATTACTCTTTGTAACACTATTGATAATATAATTTCCAAAGTTATTGTGAATCATCTCAAATGTTTTTTGCCTGACATTATTGGCCCTACACAATCTACTTTCCAAAAGAATAGACGTGCCTCCGATAATGCCGTTATTGTTCAAGAGATTCTCTACTACGTTCATAAATCTAAGAGTCGTGTCTCATACAAAGCTAGACAAATATTGAAGTAAAAGCAGTACAAGAGATTCTAGAATGAGGTTTCATTAGAGAAAGTTTAATTTATTTCAATGTTTCTCCTAAGTAGTCAAACTTATAATATCTTGTATTGCTTTTACTTCAATATCTGTCTTGCTCAATGGGTCAACCACAGATTCTTTTAAACCAAGTAAGGGTATTTGCCAAGGAGACCCTCTCTCCCTGTATAACTTTCTTCATTTTATGCATGGAAATGCTCTCAAGACGTATTATTATGGCTGTTGATCACCATCTTTGGAGGCCTGTCAAGATTTCAAGGAATGGACCCCCAATCTAGCACTTAATTCTTTATGATATTATCTTTACTTTAAAATTTAACTGAAACTTCTTGTAATACTACCAAAAAGTTAATTTTGACAAATCTAAATTTCTCGAAGAATACCTCAGTTTTGGATTAAACTGTCTCCTCTTCTTTTCAAATGAATGAAGGCAGTCTTTTGGTAAATGTTTGGGATTTCCCATTTTTGACAAAAACCTTCTAGGGCAGATATTCAGTTTATTTTGGACAGTTTTACAATACAACTGGATGGATGGAAAACCCATTTTCTTATTCCTGTAGGACGTACTACTTTAATCCGCTCTACAGTCTTCCCAACCATATTATGCAATTCATATCCATTCCCTCTTATATTTTAACTACTATTGAAAGATATATGCACAACTTCCTTGGGTGGATGATTCTTCAACTCACAATAACAGCTCTGGGATTCTCTGTTATGTTCTAAATATTTATCCTCTACTGCCATTAGCTCTAATAAATCTAGGACTTGGAAAGCCATTCAACATGGATGGCAATATTGCCAAATTGGACTTCTTTGGAAACCTGCAAACAGCAGACACATTAATTTCTGGAATGCCTCTTGGATTCGACCAAATACCCCTCTTAAACACTTGTTCATGGACCTTTACTGGAAAAGGATCTCTTGACTACACTTGGAAAGCCATTCAACATGGATGGCAATATTGCCAAATTGGACTTCTTTGGAAACCTGCGAACAGCAGACACATTAATTTCTGGAATGCCTCTTGGATTCGACCAAATATCCCTCTTAAACACTTGTTGATGGACCTTTACTGGAAAAGGATCTCTTGACTACAATAGCTGCGTTTCGTGCCAATAATCTGGGATTTCTCGATTCTTTCCTTTAATCTACCAGATACTCTACTTTGAAAAATACAAGCAGTGCATCTCCCCAAATACTCATTACGAATGATAGTTTGATCTGGGGACTAACCTCAAATGGCTCCTTCTCAGTAAAGACTTGCTTTCCTTCGATTGTCTTTGGCGTCTCAAACTGTCTCCTAAAATAAAACATTTCTCATGGATGCTAGCTATCCCCTTCACCTTAACATAGCCTACTCTAATGAGTGCAAAGTTTGTCATTTCCCTCAAGAGGAAACTATATCTCATCTTTTTTTCTACTGTACCTTTAGATGCTACCTCTCCTTCTGCATGGCTTAAACAGTTCATTCAATTCACCCCTACAATTATTATGACTCAATCCCCTGTACTGTTTTCCTTCCTTACTGTCTCTAGATGATATGAAAGGCTCGCAATAAATTAGTTTTCGAGGGTAAACAGGTATTAAGGTATAAATGACAATTTGTGCCTAAAATTGAGAGAATTCCATAGTGGTATAATGTTTGGACAGTTGAAAAGAAGATGAGATATAGTTTCCTCTTGAGAGGAATGATAAACTTTGCACTCATCAATAGGCTGTGTTGACTCAAGAAAATCTCATGAAGATGGGGATTCATCTGAGCCCTATGTGCTTCCTACGTGAAGAAGAGGCTGAGACAGTAACTCACCCATTTCTACACTGCAGGATTACCTATCTACTGTGGAAAATCTTCATAAATATGAAGGGTCTGAGATGGGTGATGCCAAGGAAAATAGCTCAGACCCTGAAGATCTGGATCAGCGATGCTAACATTTCTGGACTAGGATAGATGGAAAATTATACCAGCTCGCATCTGGTGGTCTGTTTGGAGAGAAAGAAAGCTCAGGTGCTTCCAGAACCAGAGCAACAACATCCAGAAAATGAAGATGAATTGTTTAGTGTCATTTCATTTTTGGTGTAAACAGGAGTATATGGAGGATGTAGAATCAGTTACAGATGTCTTAAGCTCTTTGTAGTTTTTATTAAAGGGTTGAATATCTTCCTGATACTCTGCCTCAATTGGAATTAGGAAACCTGTGACTTGTTGTCGCAGGTTTCTGATTTTTTGGAAATAGAATACAAGTTGTTACTTTCTCCAAGAAAAAAAAAACTATCATCCAACAAGCTATTGAATTTTGGTTCTTCACAGGCCTAAGCCTCTAAAGGCACAAAAGATACCTCTTTATGTCAAATGGAATCCTCCTAAACAGCCTTGCTAGAATGGTTTGTCAATTGCACAACCTTAGTGGTATTGGAGGAGTTTTTAGGAACCATGATGGCACTTGGATTTTAGGTTTCAAAGGCTCAATTGCACATCGAGATGCTTTTAGTACTGAATTATATGCACTTTTCACAGGTCTTACACTTGAATTGGAGCATAATATTCGACCTCTGGAAATTAACATAGGCGCCAGTGAGTTTATTCTAATCCTAAGTAACTCTAATATTCATTGTTCGTCTATTGTTGATGACTGCAGGTACCTTCTCCAGCCGCTGAATAGCTAGCTCTACTATAGGGTGTGTCTACAAAGAGCAAAACCAAATTGCAGACGAGCTTGCCAACTTGACTACTTCTGGGACTGTTGACACTTGTTTACAAGTTTTTTGGGACACTCCACATCAGCCATCTGAAATTTTGTGCAAGGATTGAATAGGAGCAATGTCCATCCGTATGATTTCTGCTCCAAAGGCAGCTTTCTCTACCAACTGTTGTTCTACTTATACTAGTATTAGGAGTTCAAACTCTTTAGGTACTGTAACGACCATCTATTATATTGTGTGGCACAAACTCTCGTGTAGGCTTTTGTTATATATATTACTACCCTTTCCACCAAAAAAAGTGTGTTGAAAATGTCATGATTTGTTAGTTTGGACTTTGGAGTAAACATTAGTTGACTTGTGAGTTGTTTTCCCCCCACATTTTGCCTAGAATCGTGGCCCCTACCCTCCTCCATTGCAAGATTTTTAATTGATCACTCATCTGAAATTTTCCTATATGTGGGAATGTTGCTGAAACTCTCTCTTGAGTTAGAATTTAAAGTTTATGAATTCAAGATTTTAGTTCTTCAATTTATTGAGTTTTAAACTAATAATTTGCACGCATTTAATGAATTTTATTAAAACTAATACATAATTCAATTGAACTCGTGTATCCACCCCTGGATATGCTAGTGCACTATATACCTTTTAATAAACAATTTGTGCTAGCTAGGAATCACAACTAATTGATTTCTTCAAGGTCTAAAACACACAGAATATAATACATGCATAAGTTTTAGAATGTTGCCCATCAAAACTTTTATACAATTTTCTACCATCATAGATTTAACTACTAATCAAGTACGTAGTACCTACTACTAGTAACTAGTACGTAACCCATATTAATTAGTGTACTACTAATATATTAGGCACATAATTAATTGGTGATTAGTGTTGAAATCTCTTCTTCCTTTCAGCCACCATGGATAAAAGTCTTGAAACACCTTGAGTCCACATCTCATATTCTCTTTGATTTTTGCATTCGAACTCAACAACACCACGTATTTCTGTCTTCAATCCGAAATATCGACGTTTTTCTCCATCCTCAAATAAATGCCTCCCTGGCCATGCTGGTACATCCTTGTAAACTTCTGTTACTACATCTGTTTGCACACACAACATATGTTATTTTTTCGTGTCTTAATTAAATTGAGTTGTTTTGCTATAACATAGAGTATCAAAATTATTCGATTTGGACGTACTTTTCTTTTTCTTGGTAATAGTTTTTCCAACATGTTTGCTTTTCATCTTCAGCATCACCTGTGAAATAAGGAAACATAAAATGGTAAGGACTAAGAACATCATCAATAACATTTAAGTTCTATGCACAGGACGACATAAGTAATATTTATGGGATGATATCACTTATAATAAAGTAATTACAAATAAATCAGTCTCTATAATGAACCTTCTATTTCATACTTACTAAACTACAATAATGGAATTTGCAAAAGAAAAAAAAGTTACACTCAATTAGTTCAATGGTTTCTAAGTTGGACGACTGGTATTCTCTAGATAGACGGTAAATCCAGATATATTATATTGTAGTGTATTCGGCCTCGGATATGATCAATTTTTCATAGGGGTATTGAATAGTATATATTAACGGTTGAATTCCCTTGACATACAGAAATATTCCATTATAGTGGTAAAAGGGATTCATAATTTCTTTTAAGTCACAAATTTATATCGTGAAAATGCAACATTAGTATTTTCATGAATTTCTGACTACGCCACTGAAATATTACTGAGTCTCAGGAAGTGCTTACCTCTCCACTACGATGAAGGTATACAGAGACAATTTTCCAGTGAAGATCACCTAAAAAAACCGAAAAATAAAACAAGTCAGCATGAAATCTAAAAACAGAACAGAAAAAAAATAATCAAATTTTGTGGCATTGTTAGCAAGGGAAGACTTGTGCAAATTTACCATTACGAGTTCTTTTGAGAAGCTCGCGTCCTCGAGCCAATAATTCTTGATTACAAACGCCCAAAAAGTTCTCTTCAATGTCAAGTCCCTCACAGTAATTATTGTTGTTGTTGTTGTTGCTGCTGTGATTTTGGTCGCTGTTTCGCCCTGTTCCTCCGCCAATTCCCTTTTCTATTGGAATTACTGCTGCAATGTTCCATACTTCCTTCAATGCTCTTGCCTTTAATGTTGCTGCCCCTCGCAATGCTGCGAAAAAAGAAAGAACATATTAGTACTATCTCAAGTCCCAAATATTAGCTCTGTCTTGTCGAATTGAATTTGTTTCGAAATATTTCACATTTAAGGGAAAAAAAGTTATTTACTAGAACTAGTACCTATTGAAAGAGGATAATGGAACAGAGGAAGTACATTATTAGTCCAATTTGTAAATGCATAATACATAAACGCGTCTTTTATGTTCTGCATTTTTTGGTGTGCACAAGCAGACACTTATACTTATATAGAATTGAACAAGTATACATGTGTGTGTCTACTGTTCAACTTTATATACATTTAAATGAGATTATGGAGACTCTGTTTCATATGAAGTATTTTATTAGTCACCTGTAGCAGCAGCAGCAGTGAGAGTTGAAATATCTCCATGAGATCGAACATTAACTGCAGAGCTAATCGCGGACATGAGATGGTCCCGGTCCGCTCCCATAACTTCGGCAGCCTCCACGCACTGCGCGGCAATCAACATGGCTGCCGAAGCTACAGCAGCATCAGTCTTCGCCATTTGCTCATCTTTTCCAGTGGACGAAGCTGATGCGGTGGCCGCAGCAATTGCGGCCACCGAAGCAGCAACTCCAGCTACTGAAACAACAGCATGGAGTTGCGCGTTTTGGGCCCTACTTTCTTCTTTCTTTTTCTCTCTCCTTTCTTTTAACCACCTGCCAACTGTCTTACCACCAGGCGTGTTGGGTGCTAACCCAACAGCTGATCCAGTGTATCCTGTTCTTACATTTGTGAATAATGGTTGCAGAGTGCTGTTTGCTTTCAAGTACTGCACCACAATATGAGAAAATGAAATATCAGTACCAGAATATTGTAAGTTGAATTAACTGAACTCAATATTTTCGATACGTAAGCATGTATTGAAGTGTGAAAATATTGAAATTTGATCACATGATTCAAATGTATAATGGTCAATTTGTAAGATGGTAAAAACTTATTTGTACAGTGTTTACACTAGACGAATAAATGCATTACATTTGTTTTTTTATCAGTTAACCATAGTTAATTAATGCACATTTTCATTTCATTAAGTCACTTAACATATTAAAAAAAAATTGATGAAAAGAGAAACTCGCAATCACTATTTTTTGGGTGTGCACATGATAAAAAAATTCCGCTCCTATACAATAGCTTGCAAACCACACAAGAGAGGTAACCTGCACTAGACAAGTCCGGTGCGATGAACTCAACTCGGAAGGTAAACTCCTTGCTTTCGCTAGTAAGGGGTTTCAAACTTGAGACCTCACTCAAGATATTAAATTGAGTTGGTTGACCGCGAACACTAGTAAAATCTAAGCTTTTGTTTGACTATAGATTTTGAAGTTCAAATTTGAAATTTTGAATTTTTGAAGTTGTGTTTAGACATCCATTTTACTTGAATTTTTGTGAGTAAAAACTCTCAAAAACTAATCACTTGAAAATACTTGAAGATCGATGATATCAAATTTAATGACCAAAGAAGATGATTTCTCAAAATCTATGGGGAAAACACTAAACTAAATCTTGAATATGACTTTAATGAAGTTGACTACAACATGTAAATAACAAACATGAAAAGGTACAACATTGAAGCAGATAGGTAAAATTTAACTTTAACATAAGAGAGGAAACATGTTGATGGAACACTAAAAAACAAGCAAGGCAGAATTCTGAAATTGGTAAGTGACAGAATTCTGAAAAGAGAAGCAATGACAAAATGATAAAAAATGACAAGAGAGCATCAATTTTCCACTTACACACTCCACTTAAAAAGTTTCTCTTCTGATGATCGATAGGTAACTAAATACAGTGATAAATCTAAGTCAATCTTGAATCGTACTTGTAGTATATTTTTGTGAAAGTTAATTAAGACCAAAATAAAAATAAAAATTTGGCCTCGTTTACAGGAGTAACATTTACCTAAAAAGATACTTTATTCATTTATTTTTACTTGTTATATTTAGACTTGACATACTCATTAAAAAATAATAATTGACATAACTACTTTACCATACTATTCCTATTAATCGATGTTTAATATTATGTCTTATAAAGTGACTTGGAAAATAAATAATGAATGTTAAGGCAAAAACATGAATTTTTTTAAATCTTTTTTGCAATGTTAAAAGTGAACAGGATAAAAGTAAAAACCCTATTATTAAAATAGTAGTACTTTTTTTTTTGTTTTGCTAACTTTGTTGATCTCGTATAAAACCAAAGTTAACATCTTTTCCTTTTTCTTTTTCTTTTTATGGCCATTTGTTGGTAGAGTTATTCCCTAAACAAAGTCAAAAGGTGGTTTTGATTAGACGGCTAAAGCATCCTTGTAATTTGTAAAGCAAGAAAAAGTTGTACATTGATATTAACAAAAGTGTATTGATATGTTTTCTTTTACTTTGGAAATGGGTCCAATCCATACCCTTTATTTCTACTACTATCATCATTAACTAATAACAACATTTATCATAATTAAACATTTAAAGACAGATAAGATATGCACTTGGGGTTACTTTAATTAACAAAATATAATTATTAATTAATACTAATGAGAAAAATTAATTACCTTAACAACATCTTCAAATTCTTCAGAAGGAGAGACTGGAGAACTATCAGTTTCTTCAGTCAGAGAACCATTCAAAGGTCCACTACTATGAGACAATCTTCCTGATGTTAATGGTGATATTTCCTGCCCATTATGCATCTAATAAAAAATTTCCATAAAAAATAATGTTAAAAATATTACTAGTACAAAATTACTCCATGAAATTCCCCTGTATAATGTAAACAAACAAAAATAAAACACCCCTTCTCTTTTTCATTTTTCTAATAACTTCGTCTCGATTCCAAGTAACAATTGAATTTGTATTACTCAGGTCATTCTACTTGGTCTATCAGTCATACCTCCTTATAAACAGTCATTTTCAATACTAATTTTTTGTTGTTGCAATAAAACGGTCCAACATATGATATTGTTAGTTTTAGACCAATTACATAAATTCCAACTATTCATGTCGCTTCACGTAAAGATTATCTCAATCAAAATGTTTAACATCATACGTCTCTATAACAATATTTCATTATAACAACTAACTTGTTTTCTGAACCAATTTTTCATGTTATGTTATTACATCGATCATACACTCTCTATAACAATATTTCGTTATAGCAACCAAAATATATCCAGACAAACGATGCTGTTACAGAGAGGTTTGACAGTACTTACAGATTGAGACATAATGCGATCAAGAACAAGTTGTGAAGTAGCAGAGGAAGCAAAAGAGAATGTGTTTCCAGCAAGTTTATTAGCAGAATCTTCTTCCTCAACAGCGATAATGTTCTCTGGTATAGTAACAACAACACTACTACTACTATTTATATTTGTATTATTATTCGTCTTAGAAGTAAGAGACGGAGATGATGATAATGAAGAAGTTGTTGTTAACGCCTTGCAAACTTGCAAAGCAGAGGCACTCCATGATCTTGACAAGAATTCCATAGGTGCTTTTGGACTTTCTGGAAGATTCATATTCAAGTTTTTTTCTGACCATCTATTATCCATCAAGAAAAAGATAACACTACTTGGGGCAAGTTTTTTTTGTGTGTGTGTGTGAATTGATTTTGAACAAGAGTGTAGGGGTCTTGTTAATTTTTAGGTTTGGGGGTGTTTTTATAGTAGGAACTTGACTTGTTAATGTTGTCCTGTTTTGTACACATATGATTGAGAAATGACTATAATAATTGTAATGTAGTAATAGCTTTGTTAAAACATATTGATTGTTAAGTCATTTTCATAATTATCTTAACTTATATGTATTGATGTGATGTTACATTATTAGGTTAGGTAAGATAAAGATAAATAAAGCATTCTGTTTGTTTTAATTTATTTGTCTTATTTTAATTTGATACAGAATTTAAGAAAATAAAGAAGGATTTTGAATTTTGTGATTTTTAATTTCCACTTTTCACGTAAATGCTTAAAACTATAAGATTAAAAGACATTTAAGTGCATTCTAGTCAAAAATATAAATTTGAAACTTATTTTTTCACTTCTGTTAAATGAAGGGTATATATGAGTTCATTTTATAACGGTAGGGGTATATATGAGTCGTTTGTATAAGGTAAAGGTATATATGAGCCACTTTCATAACGAGAGACATATCAACTCCAAATGACAAAGTTGAGAAGTATATCAAACCTTTTACCCTTTTTTTAAATTTCATGCTAAATTAACAATGCCGCTCTTCTTATCCGTCCCATCTGCTCTTAAAGCATGTTTGGCATTGTTGTTGGGAGGCCAAAAATATATTTTTTTGAAAAATAAGGTGTTTGGCTAATAAGTAAAATTGCTTTTAAATTAAAGCAAAAATAATTTTTTTCTGCTGTTGGAAAGAAATTAAAATTTTCTGCTTCTTAAAAAAAACAGAAGTAGAAATAAAATTTAGGGAAAATGCATAAGTACCCTCCCAACCTATACTCGAAATCTCAGAGACACACTTATACTATACTAAGGTTCCATTACCCCCCTAAACTTATTTTATAAATAATTTTCTACCCATTTTCGGCCTACGTGGCACTATCAACCAGATAGCTTGAAAAAATTATCAACACTCGCTGGGCCCAGAAGATAGTGCCACGTAGGCCAAAAAGGGGTAGAAAATTATTTATAAAATAAGTTTAGGGGGGTAATGGAACCTTAGTATAGTATAAGTGTGTCTCTGAGATTTCGGGCATAGGTTGAGGGTACTTGTGCATTTTCTCTAAAATTTATTTCAAGAACAAAATATCCTTGTCATATATACATATTTACCAATATATCTCTTTTACTTGTTTATTTTTGTTGTGAATTTTTTGTATGTAGTGATTTTATTTGTGGAATGATTTTTAAATTTAGTTTGCTTGTTATTTTTAATTATATTTATATTATCATGTTAATATCATATCGATAGTTAATTTATTTTTTATTCATTTATGTATAATATTGATTGAAAATTTGAATAGGTACATTTTAATTTAATAACAAAAAATAACGAGACATTTTATAACAGATATTTAAAATATTTTATCTCTATAAAATAATCTAATATTAAAAGTGTATTGATACTTACTCTTTTTCGTAAATTGACTTTAAAAGTACTTCTAAAAAAGATTAGTCAAACATAATTTGCTTATTAAAAAAAATATTCAAATGAGTTAGCCAAACACAAATTACTTTTTTTCAAAAGTACTTTTTTGAAAAACTATTTTGAAAAAGTGCTTCTAAAATTAAGCAGTTTTTAACAGTAATGCAAAACAGGCTCTTAGCCAACTAATCAAGAATCATAGAAAATTTTCTTTTCATCTAGATTTTCCTTCTGAGATTGATTTTTTCTCTGCTTTATATTTTTTTTTTCCCACCAGTTCAAGGCATCTTTGTAAGAAACTTATGTGTTATTATTGAACCATTCCTTTTCAATCCTGATAATTATCACAAAATATTGAATCTTCATTCTAATCTATATAGTCTTCCACTTCGAGTCAAACAATAAGCTGGTCTATACCCCAATCTATATGAACTATCTTTTTAAGGCATAATGCATAAATATGCTCTTTAACTTGACCTCGTTTTATATTATGTCCTCCAACTTTGAGTGTGCACAAGTAGACACTTATACTTGTATAAAATTGAACAAAATAGACACACACGTCCTACGTGACATCCTACAGTGCAATTTGCATCCAATATGGTGGCCTACGTGTATTATGTCTCATAGGACCCATATGTCTGCTTGTTCAACTTTATACAAGTTTAAGTGTCTACGCCTGCACATCCAAAGTCGAAAGGCATAAATGTGAAATGCAATCAAGTTAAAAGACACGTTTATATATTATGTCTTTTCTTAATAATAAAAAAAATTGACTTCTCAAAAAATTTGGCCACACATATAAACATAATAAGTGAATATTAGAAAATAAGATAATCATTGATTGAACCAAAGAATTTTAATAAGAGCATTTTGAAAAAAATGCAAAAATGCTACACCTAAAAGTCAAGGGAATTTAACCGTTCATATAAACACAAAAGAAAATTTTGCCCACTTGTATAATATGATTTTCAAACAAAGTGGATTTAGGGTGTATTTGGTATTTTTGATGGAAAATATTTTTTTTGAAAAATATTCTTTAGAAAATAAGTTGTATTCAGTAGGTAAGTAAAATTTATTATCCAAAAACTATTTCTATGTAATTTAGATAAATATTATAGATGTTGGAGTGTTGGATGGTGGGGACGAGGACTATATCGAGTGGAGATGAAGATGAGGTGTGTTAGAGGGCGGAGATGACACAATTGGGAATATCACTAGTAGACCAAGCTTGTTTCCCTTACTTTTATTAAGGAGCTCGTTTTCCTCATTTTTAAGGAGTTTGTTTTCCTAGAGAAAATATTTGACCAACCAAATATGAAAAAATTGAAAAATGTTTTTCTTCACATCGAACACGCCATTAATTTAGATCGTTTTCTACAAATAACATGTTAAATTACATGGAAAAAACACTCATTTATAAGTTACAACTTCTTCTTTTTCTTTTCAAAATTGGAAGTAGGGGATTACAATGTAAGGAGTCGATCGAGTCCACATCTATAAAGTAAAAGTTCAGGTGGTCAACCAATCGATTGAGTCCACATCTATAAAGTGAAAGTTCAGGTAATCAACCAATTAAAACTCGGAAGATCGCTATGTCGAGGGATAAAATTGTTGAAAATGAGGGCAAGTGGGCCTAGGTCAAGCAATTGTGTTTGACTTATTGTCAGGGATCCTTCTTTTCTTTTGAAAGATAATTACACCAAATATTTTGGTTGATCCCAGGCATACAGTGGTGGGTAAAAGCTAAAGTGCAATTGTCCCACAAAAAGAAAGAGATATGTAGTACACAAATGAAAACTACTAAAGCTTTTCATTAGGGCCTACACCACTAATATGGTTTATATGGTGCAAATATCATTTTATTCACTATTTGGTCCTGTTTTTAAAATAGGGAAAAGGGTCTGATATACCCCTCAATTTTGCTACTTGGAGTTGATATGCTCCTTGTTATGAAAGTGGCTCATATATATTCTTATCGTTATACAAACGGCTCACATATACCCCTACCGTTATAAAATGAGCTCACATATACCCTTCATTTAACGGAAGTGAAAAAATTAGTTTTAAATTCATATTTTTGACTTTTGATTTTTTTTTAAAAATGATTTAGGGGTATATATGATTTTTCTAGTAAATTTCAAGGTATATTTTAATTTTTTCGGACATAAATTATTTTTTGACTTCTTGATTATCATTATTTGAGTTTCTTATTCTTATTTTATTTTTTCTTTCATTCCTTAGTATAATAAAGGAAAAAATTTAAAACTATTTTTTGTGGCTATATTATAATTTAAAATTATTTTTTTTGGATATATTGTAATTTAGTTTTTGTATTTGAAGAAAAATATTGGGTCATCTATAATAAATTTTACAGGAATATTAGCAAAACTTAAATAAATTTGACCATCAAAATAATAAATCTAAATTAGTCATTGAAACAAAAAAAAAGTTAAAAAAATAATATATGTTTGAGGAGGATTAAATATACCCATATGGGATTATATTTTTTTTTAAATAATAAAAAAAATTAAATTAAAATTAATTTTTTCACTTCCGTTAGAGGAAAAGGGTATATGTGAACCATTTGTATAACAATAGAGGTATATATGAGCCACTTTTATAACGAGGGGTATATCAGCTCTAAATGACAAAGTTGAGGGTATATCAGACCCTTTTCCCTTTAAAATATATAAATTGTCCTAAAATAAACTTGCAAATAATATTGTCTTCTTCTTATAATTTTATTTTTTTCGTAATTGTAAGGGCTAAGAAATAAGTGAAAATTTATAGGGCAATTTTCATTAAGTACATTAGTATATGCGTTAGTTATTTAATATAACGATAGTTTCAATAATTACATCTTGTCAGAGTTTGCTTCCAGATACACGACATTGAACGAATGTATCTTGCTTCTCGCCTCTCTCCCTCTCTTATTCATGTGCTTCTTTGTATATGTAATATATAGTGTATTGTGTATCACAATATATATATATATATATATCAATTATGCACTAATGTATCCAATGTATTTGTGCATGTTAATTTCATCATGCGTGTGCGGTATCAAATATCTAGTGAATCCACTATCAATTTCATGTATTCAGTAATACAATTATTTATCTAGTGTATTTGCGCATGTCAATTTCATCCAGTGTGTTCGATATCAAATATCTAATGTATGCACTATCAACTATCGATTTCATGTATGCAATGTATTTGTACATAATTACATATTGATTCTAAAAGTGCAATGGTGTATCCAATGTATTTGTGATATATGTAGTGCATCTATGCTTAAGTACATCAAACTAATATAAAAAATACATATATTTGATATCAAATTTGTGATTTATACAATATATTTGTGTATAGATACATTTTTAGAAAAGAAAAAAAAGATAAAAGAAGAATAAAGACATAGTTATCCAAATACTTATATTTGTGCATAGATGCTTATATCTGGTGTAATTATGACTTAATAGTGGTCCTTCAATGACTATGGTATCAATTACTTACCCATTATAAATTCAAATTCAAATTAAATAATGTGTGATTATGTAATCATTTTAAAGTAATTTGATAATTATACTAAAG